GCTGACCAGGATTTCTGGGAGTTGAAGTCCAAGAACATCTGGAGGCCCAAAGTTGAGGACCACTGTTCTAGAGGACACAAAAGCTTTCAGATTTTGTGAATTTGTGGTTGTCCCTCATAAGAGCATTTTTCACCTGTGAATTTTGGATTTTGTTTCATTTAAGGTGAAGCTGGAATCGCTCCCCTTGGTGTGCCAGGATTTTATGTGCGAAAGTATTTTGTACTGAAGAGTATTCAGTGAAGTGACCATCCCTCAGTCTGCAATCCAGGCACAGCTTTTCTATATACAATAGGACTCTCCACAACATTAGTATCTGATGATTCACTTATCTGCCTGCCTGAAAATACTAAATAAAAACCCCAGAAATAAGTATTTACATGTATTAAAAAAAACAACAACCCAGAAATAAGCATTTACATGTATTTCCAGGGTGGAACTGCCCCCTAGAGCAGGGTTGGGCAATTAATTTCTATAGGAGTGGGGAACATGAAAAATCTGAACTGTGTTTGGGGGCCAAACCAACTTTATTTAAAAATAAAATAAAACAGTGATGTTATGATTGTTTTTATTTTAAACTTGTTAATCTTCACAAATACTAAAGAGTTTTTTTTGCGGGATGTTAAAGATAAGCAACTGATCAACTTCAGGCAAAAAGCTATAAATGGTTTTGATGTTCAAAACTGTCCACGGGCCGGATAGGAGCGGCTCGCGGGCCGTATTTTGCCAGTTCTGCCCTAGAAATCAATCAATGTATAGTGTTCAATATAGTACTACTGCATTTTTTTTTACGTCCGTGGGGATCCTTGCAATTGATCCCTCATGGATACCACAGTTCTGCTGTAATCTTATGTTTGTGAAATGTATAGAAAACACAGAGATATGCTATAACTCAGAGCAGCTATGAGCTGATCATACTTCACACTACTCTATAAATATTGTTATGAGTATTCACTGGAAAGGCACATGAAACTCTGTTGAACCACTAAACAAAATGGAGTCCATTCCTCCCTCACCTCCTGTGTTGATTGCCACAACTGGAAGAGCCAGACTGCATTGCTCATGGCCCGATTAAGCCAGAGGGCTGTCAGTTGCCAATCCTTAATGTAACTTGATAATGAAATGAGACATTTCAATTCAAGTCTACTCTTCACCTTATCTAGGAGTGGTAAGCAAAGAGCAAGAGGAGAACTTTGGAAATAACGTTTCCTACCTCTTTCTGTGTCATACAGGTATACAAACTTTTCCCAGTTGTAATATGTTAGAAGGCTCAAGATCGCTCCTTTCAGGGCCGGCCGCATTTGAATGACAAACTGCACGTCAGCATCCGTGGAGAAACTGGGTGTGATGAAAGAGGTGTGCAGTGCCCCACAAAAGGATGTCAGGGTGTTCATCGACATCTGGTCGTAGAATCCAAAGATAGCATAGACTCCCCTGGAAAACTGTGAACAGACTAAGAAAGAGAAGAAGAAAATGGTTACAAACGAGAGGCAGCCAAGAAGAAGTAGAACAGCAAGCAGATAAAGATGTTGCCTTGACAACTAGCTAACAACCAAGCAAGTAATGATGGTCTTTATTTCAGAAAAATGCAAGTAGCAAAGATCATATTCTAGAATGGAATGGCCCATGCATTTGTTACCTCTGCAAACAAAACAAAACACCCTATATCAGTGGTCCCTCAACCTTAGGCCTCCAGATGTTCTTGGACTTCAACTCCCAGAACTCCTGGCCAGCAGAGTTGGTAGTGAAGGCTTCTGGGAGTTGTAGTCCAAGAACATCTGGAGGCCCAGGGTTGGGGACCACTGCCCTATATAACTAATAGGACAGGGATTTTGACAAGTCTGTAATCCCAAGTTCCAAGTCCCTATGAAAATCATTTTTTTCTTCCCCCCCCCAAAAAAAGGGAAGGGTGGGAGGGTTCACAAATCAAATCATGAGTGTCACTTAAGCTCAACTTAAGTGAGTCCCCCATCCCTGCAATCTGGTATACATACATACATACATACATACATACATACATACATACATACATACATACATACATACATACATACATACATACATACATACATACATACATACATACATACATACGGATTCAGAAGAGACTAACAGAATTCATAAATTCTTGCATTTGATATACACAAGCAGATGGATACTTGCACTGATTTTTAAAGATCTAATTGTGGCTGGCTGAAAGATGCTTTATTGTCTATAACTGTCACTGGTGTTTGGAAACCAACCATTTTTAATGTGATGATATATTTTACAACACAAGATTCATAGAGGAGCCATTGCATGAGACAGAGGCGGTAACCTTTAGACACACTATTGCACCCCCAAGTACTACCTCCAGAGTATTTGTTACTTCTGCAAATCATAATACGTAGAATCTGTAATGCCTGCTAAAGCAATCTTAGAAAGAGGGAAGATTCTGTGCAATAGCTCCTTGACACAGCATCAGAGGTAGCTTCTTAAACAGCTGTTCCAAGGAGGCGGACTACGACAACAGCACCTTTTTCATTACCATGCACAAGAAACTCAAATGAAACAATACCAACCCATTAAAAAAATCCGGCCAGGAACAGAGAGATTAGGTATTGTGAACACAAACCAAGCAGAAGATGATGGAAACATATTTGGACCAGGGGGAGATGAGCTGAAGAGTTGATATATATTGCCTTAACTCAGGGAATGAATACTGGATTTAAATATGAAGCAAAATATTAACAGCAGCCTCGGCAGCATGAAAGAAGATATGAAATCAGCTAGAACGCTAACATTTGTTTCTTCCCTGAGGTCTGACAGGAGCATTAAATCCATAGCTACACATATATCTATGCCAGAAGGAAAATATATGTATAGGAATTTTCATCAATATAAACAAAAGACAAAACATAAAAACATCAAGAACAAACAACTGTGCAGGCAGTTTTGCTTACAGGCAAAACAGTAAGAGTGGAAGAAGACAATGCAGTGGGGGAAGCAAGGAGAAAGCATCTCTGCCCAGTAGGCTTTCTAGCCATCACTTCCAGGGGAGAGAACCAATGTTTCAGGACTTCATGGCACAGTACGGGCTAAATCTAATTGTTATTCCCCATCTAGTGCACCCTGCTCATCAGGTTTCTTTAGCCAAGGAGAGTCAGGCTTGATTAGTCCATGGATGGGAGATAACCACCCAATGCCTAAGATCTCTGTGCATAGCTAGGCAAGGATCCCAAAAGAGATTTGAGGAAGTGGCTGGGCTTCAGGGGCAGTTTTGCAGGCTCCAAAACCATCTCAAGCCCCCTTATATATCTGTAGAAAATACAGAACAAAGTATCTATCTAGCTATTTGCTTAAAGTCATACATATATACAAACACATACATATAAATACATGCACACACATACACGATAGATAGATAGATAGATAGATAGATAGATAGATAGATAGATAGATAGATAGATAGATAGATAGATAGATAGATAGATAGATAGATAGATAGATAGATAGATAGATAGATAGATAGATACGTGTGTGCGTGCTTGCGTGCGTGCGTGCGTGTATGCATGCATGCATGCGTGTGTGCCCCCTTAAACAGCCATTTCTGAGCCCAGTGCATCCCGCTGGGAAAATCTGTTCCCCAAACCTCCTGAGATTGTCCCAGAGAGGTGTTGGTAGCACGGATGGGGACTTGAATCACCAGACTTGCTGTCAAGCTGAGCTTAAGTCACATCAGTAATTCAACTCAAACTCGACTCGAAGGTTTTTTTAAGTGACTTTGCTCATAACTCAGAATGCACCCATCCTCTCCCTTTTTTCTGAGGACAACAGGTTGGTTTTAATAGAAACTTGGGCTTGGGGCTTGGGACTCCGGACTTGGGGTGTGTGTGTGTGTGTGTGTGTGTGTGTGTGTGTATGTATGTATATATATATGTATGTGTATCAAAGGCACACCCTTTTTTCTGGGGACAACAGCTTGGTTTTAATAGAAACTTGGGCTTGAGGCTTGGGACTCTGGACTTGGTATCGAAGACTCAGACTTGGACTTGGGACTTGGATGCAAAGACTTGGACTTGGGACTTGATACCAAAGACTTGGACTTGGTACTTGGTACTAAAGACTCAGACTCAGACTTGGGACTTGATACCAAAGATTTGGACTTGGGACTTGATACCAAAGACTTGGACTTGGGACTTGGTACCAAGGACTTGCCAACATCCCTGGTATCAAGGCTGGGCTAGATGACAGTGCCCGATCTTCCTGTGAACTGAATGGTACTTGTTAATGCCATGTCTCTTTGATTCCACTGGACTCCTCTAATAGACACTTGAATGTTTGCATTTGAAACCAGGTTAAATCTTGAACATCAAAAACTGAAGACCTTCACATTTTCTGAGATTGTTGATATGTTCGCAACTGGGTCATTTAACTCACATCTTTCTTATGCCCCCCCCTTTTAAATGTAGTATAAACTTTTCTGAGCAGAGTTGTG